AGATGCTATTTCTGACTGGAAGAATATATAGAATAGCCAGTAATGGTGCCTTTTAAAGGGAAATATTTCAAAAAAATCATTATTATTATTAATAAAATTTACATAGAAAATGGGCCTCCTAACAACCACCTGGAAGACCTGGTAGGCCACTAAATCTGTTCTTATCAGATAAACAACACTTAAAGCTGCAATGAAGCTTCAAAAAAGTAATAACCATGAAAAATGAATAACAACTGGTACTTAATGGCTACTTTGATAGGGAAATTTAATAAACGAAGGTGGTCTCTGACTTTTGCACAGTACACTAGCATTGTATGGAGCAAATGTGATTGAATAGAGTAACATAAACCACACCGGTCCCAAAACAGATCCAATACTAACTTCACTGTAGAGCTGCTATGGAATGTCTTAGTGCATCCACCACCTATCAGCATAGGAACCGGATTGTATTAGCTTCCATTTTTCTTATTCAGGATTCTTGTGGCTAAAATAAAAAGCTAAAGCTCCAAAGCGAGAGGAGTGAGCAACAGCTAAGCCACCAAGAATGAAGCCAAATCTTTAGAAAGAATGAAATAGTCACCCAGAACTTTTGGTTCCTTTGATTAGAGGAACACCTGAGTGAAAGGAGAACTATTAGCATTAGCATTACAAACAAAGCTGTGCATGAAACACAGGAAGTGGAATTACTTACTAATCCTGTTTTCTGAGAAATGTGTTTTTTAAGTCTGTACTTGCTTCTGCATTCAACACATTTCCTGTGTGAACACCTGGTGGTGGAGATCAAGATGGTGATTTACTGCCCCCTACTGGCCGGGCTGTAATAATGAGGACCTTCTTAGTAGAGTGCCTTTCGTATAGCACTACATGAGTGCTTCATGTAAACATGAAAAAACTGTAGAAAAAAAACAGAAATATAGGATTTAACTGTTTAAAACTGTCAGCAGAAGATACCCGATGGATATGAGAGGACGAAGAATTCCACATGCAGTTGTGTGCAAAAGTTTGTGCGCCCCAATCAAATTATATGTTGCTGTTGATATTTTTTGACAGAATATTGTTCACTTATGTGAACAAGTTGGCTATGGAGAACATGCTTTTGCATGTTTTAATACACAGTTAGTGTTTATTTGCTGAGTTTAACATAAAAAGAATCTAAAATGCAGCCTGTGACACATTTTACAGCAAATTTGTATGGTACGTTTTTTTGTTTTTTTTAACTCTCAGACACTCTGGAATGGCTTCAGCCAATGCAATGATGTACAAAAAGAAAACTCACAAACAACTTCACTGTGGTGTTATCTTGTTATCTCAGTTTCTCGTTCAAATTCTCCCGTTCCACCTTAATAGATGCAGCAGTTACATTCTGGCATCTTAGGTCACCACTTAAGATGGAACAGGAAAATTTGAACAAAAAGCTGGCGAATGAGAAGCGACTTCAGCTTCGTAAAAAATCGAATGTTGAGAGACATTTTACAACAAACTATTCTACTTTTGAGGAAAAGTTTCCTGCCGGAGATGCGAGAAAAGAAGCTATAGCTGAGTTAAAGCTTCAAGCAGAGTAAAGTAAGTCTGGATTTTGGTTTATATTATACTTTTCTGTCTATACTAGTACATTAGCACATACTGAGACATATTTACAGCCAAGATGGTAAAACGAACATAAAATATTATGTCTCCCAAGGTGGTCTGATTTTTGTTGAAAGGACAAAATGTCACTTCTTAACATTTGGGTTGTGAATTGTAATTGTAAGACATAGAAAGAAAAAGAATCAGTGGTTGCTGCTGGTGCTGCTGACCATTTTGTGTTGTGAGAAGTTTGAGAGCCCAAATCTTGACAAACATAAGTTCAGACATATTATTTAGCACAAAAAGCGAGGGAAGGTAAAGCCTAGCCATCAAAACAAATAAAACAAACCAAAAAAAAAAAACAAAATCAGGACAGGCGACGGCAGAAAACCTGATTGCCACCGTAGGATCTACTAAATGTGTAGAAGGGGAGGGGTGAGGGAGGGGATTCAGTTGCAATCTGCTACCACACCACTAGATGCCACTAAATCTTGCACACTGCACCTTTAATCGATTATATTAGAAATGATTAATGACCAAGTACAGCTTACACAGCACAGATAATGTGCATAATAATAATAATGATAAAGAACAACACAAACATATCATAACAGACAACATAAAGTTCTAGAATTGATTGTAAACTTCTAGAATTGAATTTAAAGATCTAGAATCAAAGTTATATATTACATGCTGAGGTAACATTAAATTATTAGATGCTTTGGCAAGCATAGACCAGCAGATGGTGCAAGAGAGTTAAATCGTGTGCACTGGCCCAGGTTAAACTTAATCACTAGGTGAATTAATTCATACATTCATTTGTCAGAATACAATACACTGATGTACTGAAGTGGACATGGCTGGACAGGAGAGTGTGTTCCTCATGCTGAAGTGAGAGAGTGTGTTAAGATGTGCTGGGTATGTGGAGTGTGAG